GTTGATCTTTTTAGTTGTTAGTCTATCAAAGTTATCTTGTCACTTTATAAAAAGAAAATCTCTATGATCAATGTTAAACTTTCTGTAACTAATTTTCTCCATCTTGAAAATCAAATTGTTTCAATTCTCTGATGGTTCCTTTTTACATTTGAAACATTTTTTATTTCTTTGGTTTAAATCTTGAGATTCTCTTCATTCTTATTTAGTGGATTAGAAAAAAAATGAGAGTGCAACTATTCAGAAGTGTCTGTTCAGTTAAAATAACAGGAATTTGTTATCCTATTATGCTATTTTATTTGTATTTTCCTCTATGTGCCATTTCCTTTCAAGACAGGAGTGATCGTAGCTCTCCTCAACTTCCTTTCCTTTGTTACACTCAGTAACTCTTTTCTTCTTTAAGATTCCTCACACTGTGATATTGTTCTTGCATCTATTTACACAAACTAGACTTCAATGTACCCTGTAAATGTTAAATTCTCCAAGCCTTCTTTTCTCATTATCTATTTGAAAAATTCAGCAGTTCCTTTTTGACTGTTATAAGCAGCTTAGTTCTAGTTTCTTAGAGAAATTCCTTGTTTCTCACAGGCTCTGTCTACAATGGTAAGTAGAACCATGTTGCTTGATCTTTTTATTTGTGATTTAAATGTCCAGCTATTACTGCCAAATAGTAGATTTGACATTATATAGCTACTCTGCTCTTTTCACTTGTAATGTTAATATTTGATCTCTTAGCATCTTACTCTTGGGGGAAGCAGGTTTTGTTACTCCTATGCATGTTCAGATTTCTGTGTCACACTTTCTGTCTTCTGTTATTGTACTTAGATCGTCAAATTTCATCCCTTGTTCAATTTTCATATCCCCAAAACATAACTCACATCACTGGATGCCCCTTTTGCTCACAATCATGCATTCTGTCTTCTTAAAATTAATACTTAGTCAATTAAAGCAAGAAGAAATGATTAATAGTTCTTTCAGTTTTCTTTCTGAATCTGCAATGAACACAGTATCATCTGCATAATGTATTGTTAAGGTTATAACTTAAAAAAAAAATAATTTCATCCCAAGCAAGGCAATAAAGCCACAAAGATACAAGGGGTGAGGGAGTGT